TCTATCTATCTATCTATCTATCTATCTATCTATCTATCTATCTATCTATGTATCTGTCTGTCTGTCCATCTGTCTATCTATCTTGCCATAGCAGCTCATTAAGACAGTCTTTTAAGGAATGAAGGATCTGAGTCTGTTGAAGTAAAGGAAACACCTATGGTGATAAAATCATAGATGTTTTAAGATATTTGAGTGATGGATCCAATAATCTATAAAGTGCTAATATCCTATAAGAGAACATTTTGACTTGAAGCAAATATAACAACTAATCAAGAATTTTGTCCCTTTAAATGGCTATTTCAGAAATAATACTGCTAAATTTCTGTGTAACTTGGGTAGGTCACTGCCCCTCTCTAAGCGTGTGAGATAAGATGATCAGACTCAGTTTCTAAGTTCCTTCTAACTCAGACATTCTACAATTGTATTGAATGAATTTTACCATTATTTCTGTTTCCGTGTGAAGTGATTGCCAGTTTGACAGTTTTGCTTTTGGAAGCAAAGAAGATAGATGATATCTCTTAAAAGACATATCGAGGCAAATGAAATTGTAAACTGTGAATTTCCTCAGGAAATTGTGCTTACATGGCAGCATTCCATGGATCAGATTCTGCTATTTGATATGTTTTGCTCTGAGATGCTCTGTATGATATGAAGTTGGATAATAGGAGTTTGTAGCAGCTCATATGTATTAGATCCTCAGCTTTGTAAGGTGGTGGAGTTGACCACTTCTGTGGCCGGTAGAATCATGGAACCATCAAACCTTTGAACCGCATAATCTGAATTAGAAGGAACCATCAGATTCATCTAACCCAACCTGCCAGTACAAGAATACACTCTACAACATTGTTAAGAAGAAGTCTTCCTGTTCTCATTTAAATACCTCTATAGCTGAAGAATGCAGTAGCTCTCATGGCAGTCCTTTCCATTTAGGGAATTATTAATAGTTTTGTTTTGTTTTGTTTTCTTACAATGAGCTTAAATCTGTTTCAGCAAATACCCTCATTACTCCCAGTTCTGCCTTCTAGGGCCAAATAGAAGTCTACTCTGTCATTCTCATGATAACCCTCTAACAAATAGCTATCAATCCTCACCCAATATGGGATGGCTCCTTGGAGGAGGAGAGATTACTGGGAGGGGGAGGGGATTTAAGGGATTTAAACATAACCGGTATTAATTAAAGTATATATTTTTAAATCTTCACCCTGCCTTTCCATCCCCCCCACACAAGTCTTCTCTTCTCCAGGCTAAGCATCCCCATTTCTGTCAATCATACCTTGTTTCAAAGTCTGGCACTATCCTGGATGCTGTCCTCTGGAAGCTCTCCAACTTGTCAATAGAAGGGAAGGGCTGGCCCTCTGATTTCATTGCTACAGGGAACTCCTCACATAGAGTGAGGAAACTCCTTCTGCTAATGAGCTCCATGCCCTCTCCCCAATTTATAATCTTAGAGAATGAGAGATGAAGTGACTTGCCAGAGAGACAGGATTTTAATTCCTGGCTTCCTTTCCGCTATGACGCACCTGCTGCCAATGTCCTTCCAAAAAGGAACTCCGTTCCCAAAGGAAATGAGCATAGTGGACTTCCCTTTGGCCTAATCAAACCAGAGCTAGAAGGAAACGTAGAAAGTTAGAACACAGAAGGATAAAATTGGAATGGACCTTAGAACATGACACATAAAATATAGTCCATCCCAGATGTCTTCTCAATAAAAGTGAGTCTGTTGAAATGCTTCTTAGAGTCAGATGGATACTTACAAATGACACTTCTAGGAGGATATCAGACTTGGTTAACTACATGGCATGCAATGTTTAATATTTTGCAGCACCTGGCACATAGAAAGTGATTAATAAATGTTGTTGATTGATTGTTCAATCGTAAATATTCATGGTCTTTTTAATGGTGTTAAGTGGCAGTGCAGAACAAGATTATAATTTAGTTGTATACTTACAGCTGATATGATGTTAATCCAACAAGAATTTATTATATACTATATTCTGCAATGAAGGATGAAAAGACATAAGCATTTATTAAGTGCTTACTATGTGCCAGGCATTATACTAACCACTGGTGTTAAAAATAGAAGCAAAAAGAAAAACAATTCCTGCCCTCAGGGAGCTTATGTTCTAATTGGGGAAAAATGCAAAAAAAAAAAAAAAGAGAGAGCAAGAGCTGAAAGTGAGGGGAGGGTAGAATAATGGTACTCAATATAGAGGCATAGTTTGGAAGTCCAGAAAGTCAGGAATTGGTCTAGAAGAACAAGAGCAGGCTGGCTTGGGCCCTTTCTCAAAATGGAGGCTCTAGAAGGAACTCTCCAATGAGAGAAGGATTGGAAGGTTAGGGGAATGGACCTTGAAGAGGGTCATCTCAAGATGACCATGGAAGCAGGGATGGTAGGCTTTACTGGGATGAGGAGGTTCTAGGTACTAAGACAAGTTCCAAGAAGAACTGGCAGTAGGAGGAGCATGATTCTGAAGTTCAGAGTCAGAATAGGGCTAATGGGGGAAAGGCCCTATGTTGGATGAAAAGTGGACTAGGAATCATGATCTGGGTTCTAGTCTTGGCTCTAACACTAACTGCCATGTGTTTGAGGAAACTATTTATCTGCAAAATCAAGATTGATCTAGCTGACATCTAAGGCACCTTCCAATTCTAGCATCTCTTTCAAGATCCTTTCTGGCTCTAATAGTCTGTTCTAAAGTCCCTTCTTTTCTTTTCTTTTTCTTTTTTTTTACCTTTTCTTTAGTATTTTATTTTTCCCCAGTTACATGTTAAAAATAATTTTTAACATGCATTTTTAAAACTTTGAGTTCCAAATTCTCCCTTCCTCCTTCTCCACCCCCACCCCCCCATTGAGCAATTAGATATGTGTACTCATGCAAAACATATCCATAATAGTCATGTTGTAAGTCTTAAGTCCCTTCTGACTTCAAATATCCATGCTCTCCTTTCAAAGGTTCCTTCCAACTCTGAAAACATTCTATACTTCTAAATTGTCTGCATACAGAAGGTGGATGTGGCCTTTGCAAACTAAAATGGAGAGAAAGCATGAAACTCCAACAGTAATTTTGACCAATTGTCTTTTGAACCAGGTAACCTGGGCTCTCAGCTGGTGGAATACAAAGAAGAAATGTACATCACATCTGACTGTGGAAATACTTGGCGTCAGGTAAGAAAACAGAAAACTAACAGTTGCCCTCCTTCTTTGGCACATGCAAGTTTTGTAAATCTGGGAACGTGTGTGTGTGTGTCTGTGTGTGCGTGTGAGATATTCCTCAAACTGCTCATTTGCTGTCTAAAAGATGCAGACTATTTTCTTATTCCTTCCATGAAGCAAACTCCCTAAAGCTAAGTCCTTTTCAATTAGAGTATTGGTGTCACATATTGACCAACTAGCATGTCACTTGAGTGAAAATTATTCTGTTGGGTGTACACCTTACTTTGGAATGTCCAGAGCTCCTTTGAATTTCAGTCCATATAGGATCACAGAATAGTCAACTCAAGACCCCTGTTAGGAAGACTGTGTGGGTTTGTTTGCCCATCCAGAAGATAAGGGTTTAATTCTCTAAGTCAGGCCTCACAACTCATAGAATTTAGAGCCAGAAGGGATCTCTCTCTAGTTCAACTCCTTCACTTCACAGATGAAGAAAGTGAGGCTCAGATGACTTGCCCAAGGCCACACAAGTAGTAAGGGCAGAGCCAAGATTTTCACACAGGTGCCCTGACTCTGAATCCAATGCCCTTTCACTGTACTCATAGTTCTCTGAGTATGGTCTGAGTACACAGGGTGGAGTCCCTGAGACCCTGTGAGGTCAAAACCATTTTGACCTCACAGGTCAAACCTGTAACACCATTAAAAATAACACCATTAAAAATAATAATACTGTGATATTTAAAAAGTTTGAGACATAGTTTCTGGGTAATCATTTTTTGATAACACTAGCATTTTATTATTAAAAGAAGTCAGTGGCACTCTCAAAGGCCAATAACACTTCATGGCAGTGAGCTCACTGTTTATATATTCTTGGAATAGTAGGTGTTCCTAAGGTCAGCAATCAACTCTCACTGGTTAACAATTAATGGAGAGAATGAATATTACAACAAGGAACTGGGCTATATTACATGAGGGTCTTGAGAAGATACTGAGCATCCAAGTCTTGGTCAAAGAGATATTAATTTCCCTATCACCCTTCTGACAAAAGGGAGAAATCCACATTTTCCCAGACCTGTCTGAGTAAACACAGTGAGCAGGAATCCACCCAGTAGCCTAAACTTAGAATTTTTTTACTGTCTTTGATCTTAAATTGGGTAAGTCTTTCCCCAAGATTTCCCACACTGGTTGATTTCTGGATGAGAAAATAGAAAAGAGGAAAAAACCTTGGTCCTGATTCAGTAATTAGTTATTAAACATAAGAGAGAAATAATCATTTCTCACAATGCTAAATAATAACTTTCATAAAAGTACTAAAATGTTTTAATTTCTAATATGGCACACATAATCAAAAAAGGGAGGTCCTCAATACTTTTTAAGATTGTAAAGAGGTCCTGAGACAAAAAGTCTGAGACATGCTGCATTATACCCTCACCATCTCCCACTTCCATCCTCACATGTCTATTTCTGAGAACCCTTTGCACCTTCTAATTTACTTCCTCTGATATGCTGTGGGTTGAGAGCCAATTGCTAATGTCATCCCCCAAAACAGAGTTTGTTTTAAGAAAGAGACAAACAATTTAGGCTATATGCCTACATTTCAATTTTTCTCTCACAAGCTGGCAACATGTATTGCATGGGAGTTACAGTCCAGAACTGGCTCAATTTGGGGGTTAGGGGTACAGAGTTATATATCCTTCAAAGAGTAGCTGTTCCCAAGGGGTGCCAATCAACTCTGATGGGTCAGCACACTAGGAGGTGGGCTATATTAAAATGAGGATCTTAAGAAAGTGACTTAGGTCACTTAATCCTGGTGCAATACCTTTTCAATGGGGGGGGGGGGGGGGGTGCTGATCTTACTCAGCCAGCTTTCTACCTCCTGACATAGGAAATACCTCTTCTATAAGATCACCACCCTCCCCCACAACCAGCCATGACCACTCCCAACCTTGGGCTATCAAGGCAGAAGAATCTCTCTCCACCCAAGCCTGAGCAGAACACAATGGAGCTTCCACACCTTTGATTAAATAATCTCATTATCAGTAATGTCCTTCTGAAGAACTCTGGAAGAAGGGGGCTGATAGGTGAAGCTCTGAGTCTAAAAATCATTTTTTACACTAGTCTCATGAGAATTTATATGTTGATTATACAGGGTCATTGAACCCCTCACTAAAATTTTCCTCAAATGCTCCAAAGAGAAGTAGAGGCAAGTTGGGATGCTCAAAGGCTATTATAGTGGAGCATGAATTCTGATGGTGGTTGTTGTTGGTTGTTTCAGTTGTATCTGACTCTCTGTGACTCCATTTGGGATCTTCTTGGCAAAGATACTGGAGTGATTTGCCATTTCCTTCTTCAGCTCAATTTACAGATAAAGAAACGGAGGCAAAAAGGGTAAAGGGACTTGCCCAGGGTCACCAGAGGCCAGATTTGAATTCAGGAAAATGAGTCTCTTAACTGCCCCTGTGAATTCTAACTAAAAAGGCTTCAGGTGTGTATATAGTGTTGAAATACGTGTGTCTCTTGTATCATGACTAGCTTAGCTAAGAGTTCCCTGGATGGTAGGCCATGACTATTCTAGGGCCAGGAAGGTGCCAAATACCTGAAAAGGTAGATGGGCATTGTTCTAGATTGTCTCCCCTAGTGCCTGATCCGGTCAACACCCCACAGAGGCCACTGGATTGAGGCAAGCAAGAGTAGGAATAGCAACAACACTGTCCCCCTGCCCTTCCTCCCAGACAAGTAACCCCAAGCCAGCAGCTGCTACTCTACAGCATTCACACATCCCATAAAGAAGAGACGTTGCCGGATTTTATCATAATATGGTAGGTTTTTTTGGGGCTGATTTGCCCATTTGAGGCTGTACTCTGTTTTGCCATGCTCTGGTTAATAGCTGAAACTTCAGTTCTTTGAAAGCCCCATGATTTATTGATGGGGGGTAGGGGGGGCTCTTTACTAATGTAGATCACAGCTCCACCACTACTTGATGGAGGGGCTTCATGGGTTGGTGGAGCCAAAACAATTTGTCACCTGGAAGCTAATATTTTGGCAGCAAGCCTCTCCATGGTTAGCTAGGCTGGTTCTCCGTTAAGAGACCTACAATCCATCACCAGCCCACACTTGAGGCCTTTTCAACTGGATAGGACCTGCTAGAGTGTATGTGGGATTGAATTCAAGTTTAAAAAAACACCATTTATTAAGTGCCTAGTACATTTAAGTTCTTAGCCCCTGGGAATACAAAATCAAATAAATCACAATCTCTTCTCCCACAGAGCTTAAAGTCAATTGGGGGACTTTAACAGATATACAAACAACTCTACTACAAACCTATGCATGGTCTTTTAATTTAATTCAACAAACATTTACTAAGCGTCTGCAGTGTAGAAAGATGTGTTCAGTTTTGGGAAGAGAAAATGTTTAGGAAGTTAGTATGGTGTGGTGGGAACAATATTAACGTTGGAGACATGAGTTCTAATCCCAGTTCTGACTCTTGAGAGCTATATGATCCTGAGCAAGTCAATTTTGCTTCTCATGAACCTCATCTGTAAAAGGGGGTTCGATGATGCCCATACCGAACACTTCACCAGTGTATAGAATGTAAAGCACTTTGTAAATTCAATGTGATTCTACAAACTGTTAAGCAGGTGGAATGATATGTTGGGCGGTAGGATCACAAAGACCAGAATGAAACAGTCCCTAGTATTGGAGGTTTACATTCTAGCTTAAAACACCATAGTCAGGTGAAACATTATGAAGACAAACATAGTCCCTACATCATGGAACCTTTCATTTACTAGAGCAGGGGTCACCAAAGTATGGCCCAAGGACCAAAGAGGGTACTAGAACACAGAACTTAGAATATCACAACTGGAAGGGACCTCTAATATCATCAAAAATAGAGGCCTAAACTCAAGTTGCTTGACCGTTTTAAGTGTAGAGCACCTATCTATCTCTATTGCTACAATCAAAGTCTTTTTTTTTTCTCTTTACAAGGAGACAAGAAACAAGGGCAGATAGTACATCACAGAACCCAATACTTTTATATAATCTCTCAGCATCCTCATCACCAGATCTATGCTCATGCATAGTTCTAGGTACTATGACTTCAAGTTCATCAAATGCTAGAAACAGTACAATGGTGGTATAGTGGAAAGAGTATTGGATTTGGAATTGGGTAAGCTGGTTCAAGTCCTAGATCTGAAGCTGACTTGGTGGATGAACTTGAGCAGGGGACTCACTATAACAGAAGTGAGGTACTCAATCCCCAATCCTCTCCTTTACATCTGAGGAAATGAGGCCTAGAAAGGTAGAATAAATGACCCAAGATTAAACAGGCTGTTAAGTAGTAGACATGGGATTTAAGCTGAGATCCTCTGACTCTGTGTCCAATTAATTAATCAATCAAGTATTGATTATCAAGAATTTATCAAGTGCTTACTATGTATAAGGGACTGTGCTAGGCACTGGCGATACAAGGAGAAAAGACGAATCATTACCTACTTACCCTAATGGCAGAGAGGAGCACATATAATCATATATACAGCATAAATATATAAATATATAGTGAATATAATGCAAATATATACCAAGAAGTTAAATATGAGGTAGTTGAGGAAGGAAAGCACCTAAAGTTGGGGAGACCAGAAAAGACTTTATAAAAAAAAAATGGTGCTTAAGCTATATCTTAAAGGAAGAGAAGTAATCTATGAGGCAGCCTTTCTTTCTTGTTTTTTGTTTTTTTTTTGTTTTTTTGTTTTGCTTTTTGGTGAGGCAATCAGGGTTAAGTGACTTGCCCAGGGTCAAACAGCTAGTAAGTGTTATGTGTCTGAGATCAGATTTGAACTCAGGTCCTCCTGACTCCAGAGCTGTATCCACTGCGCCACCTAGCTGCCCCTAGAGGCAGCCTTTCTACTTGATACTACCTTCATCTTTATCTATGGCTCCCTTTTACCTGGGAGCTGCTATTGACATATATCTCAACCCAAAATGCCTTCCTGAAACAAACTGCCTTGATTATTCAA